ACACTGCACCGCAGGTGGCTTATTAGGTGTCACAAATTCCATAAAGAAATATATGATCTTTGAAATGTCTTTTTCTGTTAGGATTCTGAGGAAAAGGCTCTAGCGGACAGTCCCATAAATCTTTACGTTAAATACACGAAGCTGCCACGATCGAGGCGGAAGGGTAACTGACTCTCTTCCTCTGCCCAGGTTAACGGGGCTGCTTAGTACTCAGCCTTTTCAGCCAACGTGATGAGCAGCTCTGCTCGTCTAGCACGTTTCCCTGTAAGTGTGCCCTCCCTTTCTCTGAAGAAGGTTGGAGTGGCAGTCCCGCTCCCACAGCCAACTTACCATCTTCAACGCACAGACGATGACAGACACCTTCACATGTTGGGGTTCAGGCTAAAGAGTGGAGAACCAAAAATCTACAAAAACTCAATTCATGTTTTTTAAATAGTTTATATGGTAAAAATACAGCAAAAATATTTTTTTGTTCAAAGAGGAAAAAATATACTGCTATGGTTACGGTCCTAAGGATGATGGGAGCATCTCTGGCTCCTCGACTGTGCACTGTAGTGTAGCTGACTCCCACCACGGCTGCTCCAGCTTCAGTCATTTATCAGCGCTAAGATCATACTGTGGAGAGAAGAAATCCAGGTTACCGACGTGTCCTTAAGCCATGTCCCACGTGGTCTGGTGTGTCCCAACTCGTGTCCCTAAGGCTCAACTAGGAACACCCATTTGAGTAAAAGACATTTATACCGAAAGAAAAGAAAGTCTATGTTGGGGTTTCTGGGTGCCCTATGTTTTTTCACTAAAAAATAAGGTAATCAAGGTGGGGGTGGGGAATATAACCTAAAACCAATATTGAGCTGTCATTTAGGAAAAAACAAGCTATGTCCAGGAAAAAACCGAATTCCCTAGCCAGGTCTTTGTACAGGCTAACCCTGTGCCTGCAGCCACCTCCCCACCCTGCCCCGTCAACTGGGACATTCCTAGTCCGGCCTCAGTCAGCTCTCCTCTGGGAAGCCGGCCCCTCAGCCCAGGGCAGTTGCTCAGGCTCCTTCCACAACTCATCTTCCCACCCGAGGCTTCCATTCTAGCCCTGGATTGTGCGCTCTTCTGAGATGCGTGCTCTTCTGACCTGGGCATCGTCACTTTCATATTCCAGAATAACATCCAACTACAGCAATCCCAGCTCCTGGCTTTTTCCGAGGGACTGTGTGCTGCTCCTTTGTCGCCTGACATGTAGCAGTCCCTCAATAACTACTCTATGAAAACCACCACAGTAACAAACTATCATTTCCTTTTACTGGAATCAGCTCTGCTCTACTGGGATCAAATGATGAAATACACAGAAATAACCTGGCATTACCAGTGGTATAGGTTGTTCAACGTTAACCATACTGAGTGTACGCAGTGCACACAACAGATTAATGGTAGTAACCAATATTTTTTTTAGAGTTTACTATAGGTCAGCACAAACCTCAGTGCTTACAGACATTATCTCATTTAGTCCACATCACTGATAAGGTGGGTACTATTACTATCACATTTTCAGAGGAAGAAATTGAGGCACATTGAGGTTAAGAAACCTGCCCCAGGTCACACAGTGACTCAGAGGTAGAGCCCAGATGCCCCTACACCAGTAACTAAACAAAAAACCAACGGCATAGATTCTACCAATCTCTGAAAGAAGACGGGCATTTTTTCCCTTTAATTCTATTTAATAAACCCTGAAGGAATGCCATATGCAAGGCACCCAGGCAAGCTGTGGCCAGCGACACAGAAAGGGGCAGCATAAAATCCTGCATTGGAAATGTGATGATTTTGGAAATAAAACCACTCAAACAACAGCAACAACAAGCTAAGAGCAAAGGACATCTGAGACTATTCTTTCATCCCGATCCCTTGAGCCATGGGTGGCTCCAAGGGGGAAGGTAACAGCAGTGAGCCTAAAATGACAAGCTGAGAAGAGAGAGAAAGGGTGCCGCTGACTCAGCCAAACCCCTTCCAGGTGGCCTGTCATCTATTCAGTTATAACGAACCACACCTTAACCCTGCCCCAGACAGCTTCCCGGTTCCTCTGACCCCGTCTTCAGCCCATATCTTCCCATTGCTTGAAATTCAACAACCGAGAGCTAAGAGACTGTCGTGCGTTTTTAATTTTTAAGGCGCCGCGTTGCTCTACTAAGGAAGACACTGCTCCCTGATCCTACATTCACTCCCGGAAGTGTGCCCACAGTGCTGTGCCCACAGCTGCCCCAAGAAGCGCCTGCTAGCCAGACCGGGGAATGGCCCTCTACTCTGCTCCAACAATGTAAAACCTGGAGGCTGGGAGGATGAGGCAGTAACCTTGAGCTAAGCTGATCCCCGCTTGCTTTTCGTCTCTTCAGAAACATAAGGGAATGTATATGATGGTAAAGATACCTTCATCTGGTTTAACTTCAAAAAGTGGCAAAAATGAAAATAGGCGTACCATCGTGTTCTTAACATTACATTTCTTTGCTCTCTTTTTAAAATATATTTTTATCGATTTCAGAGAGGAAGAGATAGAAACATCAATGATGAGAGCGAATCATTGATCAGCTGCCTCCTGCACGCCCCCCACTAGAGATCGAGCCCGCAACCCAGGCATGTGCCCTTGGCCAGAATCGAACCTGGGACCCTTCAGTCCACAGGCCAGCGCTCTATCCACTGACCTAAAACGGCTAGGACTGCTCTTTATTTTTCATCTTTAATACGAGGATTAAAAATTGAGCACATTAGCCCTAGCTGGTTTAGCTCAGTGGATAGAGTGTCAGCCTGTGGACCAAAGGGTCCTGGGTTCGATTTCAGTCAAAGGCATGTACCTTGGCTGCAGGCTCCTCCCTGGCCCAAGCCCTGGTCAGGGCTCGTGCAGGCTGCAACCAATCAATGCGTTTCTCTCTGTCTTTCCCTCCCTCTTCCACTCTCTCTAAAAATCAATGGAAAAATATCCTTGGGTGAGGATTAACAAAACAAAAAAAAAAGCACATTAGCAGTGAGGTAGGGATAAGAATCAGAAATTAATTCTAATGTGCTTTTCTGTCCTAGTTTTTAAAAAACAGAAAAGCAAGTAAGATAAATAGCGAAAAGGAAACTATCTAAACTCAACTTTAATCTACTCTATGCTAGTGGGTGAAATTAGCACAGCCAAAGGACTTTAGCAGGCCTAGTTATTCAGAAAGAACTACAACGGCTCTGACTTCTGACAATTTTTATTTTTTTTTAATATTTCTTTATTGATTTCAGAGAGGAAGGGAGAGGGAGAGAGATAGAAACATCAATGATGAGAGAGAATCATTGATCGGCTGCCTCCTGCACACCCGCTATTGGGGATCAAGCCCGAAACCCAGGCATGTGCCCTTGCCCGGAATCCAACCCGGAGCCTTCAGTCCACAGGCTGACGCTCTATCCACTGAGCCAAATCAGCTAGGGCAACTTCTGACATTTTTTAAACCTGCTATCTCTATTCAGTTTCTAATTATTAAGACTCCTGTCAATGAAGGAAAAATACCACATGATCTCAAAAAAAAAAGACTCCTGTGAGTGATAGAAGTTTCATTCGGTGCAAGTTTTTCCTAACAGCCCTTATGCCTATGTGAAAAATTAAAATTTACCTGCAAAAAATTAGGAATGATCTAATTAAGCTCAGATACAAAGGTTAAACCTGACATCTAGCATCATAAAGGCTTACTCAAGCCATACACATGACAACTTTTCCCTCTGCTTTGTCTATGGGTCTATAAAAGGTTTAAAAAAAAAGTGACATGTTTAGCTCTAAAACATAGGGTAATAAATCTAAGTTTCAGACAGTGTCTGACAGCCAATCCTTCATATTAATTTTCTTTTTAATATTATTTTTATTGATCTCAGGAAGAGAGAGGGAGATATGAGAGAGAATCATTGACTGGCTGCCTCCTGCACGCCCCACACTGGGAATTGGGTCCACACCCCAGGCATGTGCCCTGACTGGGAATCGAACTGTGACCTCCTGGTTCACGGGTCGATGTTCAACCACTGAGCTACGTTCTTCCACATTAATTCTTATGCTTCCAAACTGTTATAACCAAAGCCTGATGCAGTCAAAGCTCTGCAATGTCAACACTAAATCCTATAGAATAGTGTCTCAGCCACCAAAAGCAGGCATGGGGCCAGGAAAGGCCACTTTACAGGCAAACTCACCTGTAAAGATACATGAAGAAACAGAGCAGGTGGAAGCCAAGCTTGATCATGGCTTCTTTCATGTGTGACTTCAGCTGCCCTCGATTGTGGATTTCTGTTGGGTCAAACACTCCCATGTTACCACTTGGCACCATAATGAACCTGATAAATTAAAGGATGCACACATATTAGAAGGAAATCAAAGCATCAGCAAAAATATTCAAAACTAAGTAACCAATAATCGTCAACCTTTAAAAGTGAGCCAATCATAACAGTTTTAAATTCAGACCAAATATGAACAGGGTATTATGGTAAAGTCACAGGCCAGCGCTTAGTTTTCCTTTGAAAGATATTATACTGTTAATTTGTGGTGTAGTGTTCTGCCCTCTGACACAAATACAGTAACACGCTAGAGAAGCGTATTTTATGCACTGAGACCCTCTTACACACCTTCTGTAGAAAACTACTGGAGAGGGCTCCAAACTAAACCAATCTTATCAAGTTCTTAGAAACTTCTTTATCTAAAAGGTTCTAAATCAATTAGTGCAAATCCCTTCACTTTCTCATCTTCATAAGGAAGAGTAGTGTCAGACATAATTATTCCCATTTCTCAGATGATAATAAAAGAGAGGGTCTGCCGTAACTGGTGTGGCTCAGTGGATAGAGCGTCGGCCTGTGGACTGAAGGGTCCCAGGTTCGATTCCGGTCAAGGACATGTACCTGGGTTGCAGGCACATCTCTAGTGGGAGGTGTGCAGGAGGCAGCTGATCAATGTTTCTCTCTCATCGATGTTTCTAGCTCTCTATCTCTCTCCCTTCCTCTCTGTAAAAAATCAATAAAATATATATTAAAAACAAAAGAGAGAGAGGGTCTATGTCCAGACCAGAAACCTCATCTCTGTGCTTCTGCTGACCAATAGAGTGTCTCAATCCGCATGGTTTATGAACAGTACCTCCCTTAACAGAGCAACTTAAAGGAAACAGAACAGAAATGATTTAGAATAAATGCTACTGTGATGAAACAAAACTCTTCAATTAAGACAGTAAATGGATAATTCAGACTAAAAATGCAATGTCTGATTTTACATAACTAAAAAACAAACAAACAAAAAAACAGATGAAGTGCCAAATACACAGGTAAGAACTGTACTTGTTACAGTGGTGGCGGTATGACCACAGTGGGAACTAGGAACCGAGCTATAGGTCAACACAGAAGGTAAGGGCACCGTAAGCGTGCTCCTCGCTCCACATCCAGACCAGTTCACACAGACTCAGAACAAGCTCCAACTGTTTAAAGAAACCTTGATAAGACTGTATTTCATATATTATAGTTAATACTATGGAGTCCTGTAGGGTGCTTCAGGTAACATGTCACATTTCCTATTTATTTAATATCACTGTGTCTGTGGTAGCTGCACATGATAGTCTTCCTCCTTGATTGACTCCTTTACGAATAAGGAAATTGGGGTACTTGGAGAGAAACCGTGAGGTTAAGAAGAACCTGGGCTTCAACATCATGACTGGGAGCTCTGTGCCGCACACAGAGCCTCGCCTGATCCTGCCCGTGGCCTGTCCCTGCTTTCACGTCCAAGCTTCCTGTAGTTCTCCCTCCCTCTCACCCACTCAGTTCTCAACCCTGACTCTAGGAATGCAAATGCCCCTCTGAGTCTCATGACTCTTCTATTGGAGAAGAGAGAGCTGTTAAGATTTTTTTTTAAATGTCTTTAAACTACCACGACACGAAACAGGAAACAAACAAGACTCACCGATATATATTCCAAGTGGCAACAGGCAAGTTGAGAAGGAAGATGAACCAGTGCAATGAAACGAGCATCAATAACGTGACAATGGTGTGGCCAATCAATTCTGGAATGATCCACTGCAAGGGGAGAACAGAGTACACATCTCACTGCTGGTTCTGCCTGAATGACATGTCACTTAAAGCTAAATCAGTGAAGGGACAGGGAACTTCCAAGCTAGTGTTTCAAGGTATTTTTAGACTCCATGTCCCAGATTTGCAAACTGCTGTAACTGCTTAGCCCATGCAGACACATCAGGCACAGCTTGCAACTAATGCGCTTAAACTTCAACTATGTCTTATGTGTCCTTAGCAAATGTTCCAAGTCATCCACTAAGCAGGTATGAATGACAATTAGGGGGAAAATCGAGTAGTGTTTACTTTCTATACCACTATCTATGCTGAAGCCCCTACTCTAATTTGGGACATATATCCACATGCATGCTGCCTTTCATGTCAGAATATCAGCCTTAACATTTTACAATCACACACACACACACACACACACACACACACACACAGAAAGACAAAGTACTTTAACAATAACAGCTCAAAGCTGAACAAATATGGTAATGAACTAAGCTACCAGAACCCCAGCCTATTGGCTTTATAGCACCCAAATGCCCTTAGCTATGCTCTTTGTTTATTGGACAATGTTCTACTTCTCATGCCTCAACACTATTGTGGCAGGTTCTCAATTCATCAATGGTCTTCTTCTAAGAGTAGACCTTTTTCTTTTAATAGAAGAGAAGCTAATATTTATGGAGCCAAAACCTGAGATTCCCTATTTGTAGAAATGAGGGAAGTAAAACTCAGAGAGATTAAGTAACTTGCCCACGATTTAGTGGCACAGAGTACAGTAAGTCCAGGCATGCTGCCCCAGGTCTCTTGCATTTAGAGTTTTCTTTTTGCAAACAAATAGGGGTTTTCTGGGCCTCAAACCTAATTTGCAACAAACTGAAACTTTTTAATATGTATATGCATTTTTTAAATGTGACCAATTTAACGTAAGTGTGAGCAGCAAAGTCAAACAAACCTGAAGTGGAATCAAGCACTATCCTATTATTAGCTGTGGAAACTGGGAAAAGTTACCTATAAAAATTAGCATTAAAAAAAGTACTTAACTTCAAAGTGAGGGAGTAATTTTCTCAGTAGAAGAATCCAGATAAGCTTTTCTTGGTATTTAGACTTTTATTTTTATTTTTAAAAAAACCAACAAATACCCACCTAAAATATTGAGAGAGCAAGAAATATAAAGATACACAATCCATCTGATTATATGTAGTCCTTTCTCTAAATGAGAAGGCCTGAAACTAATTTAATGTTACATATAATACTATCTCAATAAAAAATCTAAAGAGAACTCTCAAAGCATAGCAGGTAAACATAAAATATTTTATTTAAATCTATTGCTGTATTAAACCATGTCCTGGAAAATTCGACAGAAAGAAAAAGAGAGAGGGAGGGAAGGGGGGAGAAAGGGGAAGAAAAGTAGAGAGAAGGAATATAGTTACTAGAAATTTTAACTTTCCGAGCGTATCTTTATTTCCCTCTGGGCCAGAGAAGCTTACGTAGACTGAAGATGTGAAATCACTTTTAGGTCAGGCCAAAAGCACCTCCCAGTATTATTTTTATATGAACTTTTATCTAGAAAGCTCTTCTGTCTGCTCATCTCAACTGAATCAGGATCAACGGGTTTCTCTGCATCTAGACAAGCTCTGCAATTCAGGATATTCTTGCCAATTTAAAGTTCTGACTAGATACCAAAGGCAAAATGGCTGTAAAACAAATCTGCTAATTAATTCTATTTCTCAGCAAGCCACAAAAAGAAGGTCTTTCATTCAACTGAAGACAGACTAAGCTTTCTTTCCATGAGCGGGGCCGGGAGTGGGGGGGTGAGGAGGGTTGGACACAGAAAATAAAAACAGTTAACCTCATGAGAAACCTTTACCTACTCTGAGCAATAATGTGCTCTGTGGACAAAGGGACAAGGAAGAAGCAGAATAAAGGAACAAAATTCCAAGATAGGTCTTCTTGTAGTTTCATGAGTTAAAACATTGCAAACACATAATTCTACCAGCATTCCGATAAGAGTCAATATGCACTCTGAAATCAAATATACATGTTGATTATCGATCATCTCACACAGAAAATGGAGAACTGCCTTCAATGTCAGAAAATGAGCAAAGAAATGTCTTACCTTGTTTAATTTCGAGCAACATGATCGAGCATTAATGTAATCACATTCTAAATCAGACAATGTGATTATCTGATGACCAAGATAAGGAATTTTTAGACTTCTTTTATAACAGTGAAGTATTTAAGTTTCATAAAGCAATCCCAGCTGCAAGGCAGAATTAGACTTGACTTGAAAAAAGTTAGTTATTTCCTTAAAGCTCACTCATTTGACAACAGAATTTTCTCATTTGTGTTCCTCCAACAAATAAATGATTTTCACAAAATAATCCTTTCATTGTGCTCAATTCTAATGTGACCATGCAGGACATTCTATCTGAATTCCTCAAATGCCAAACAGTGGCTATAAAACATGGAGAAAGAAGACCTATAAAAACAGTGTAAATGTTAAAAACCTGAATTATCCTCAATAGTAGCAAAATAGTGTTTACTTAGGATATAACCATAAAATGTCTTTAAAGACTTAAGATATATAAAAAGAAAACAGAATACAAAACTATGAATATAGCATGGACATGTTAGCAGTCCGTATGCTGCAAAAGCTGGATTACAAATGATTCGTTTTCTCAATATTTTTCTCTATTTCCCAAACTTGCTACAATAAACATCTATTACACTGGATTAAGCAAAAAATGGTTTTTAGTACAAAATATAAACTCACAAATAAACATTTGAGGGCCAGATAGACGAAAGGAAAAGCCTTCAACTGAAAGACAATGCCTGGGTTTTACTTTAAAATGCCCCCCCACTAGCTGGGAGAGAGATGAAAAATAATGGCCAAACGCTGAAAATCACTGAAGGCGAGTGATAGAAACATGGGGCTTATTACATTACTGCCTCTACTTCTTCTTTTTTTTTTTATTTTTTTTTACTGCCTCTACTTCTAAGTTTGAAAATGCCCAACAATGCAAGTACGAACAAATGTTTTCCATTAAATTCTAAAACATTTTCATATAACTATTCCCCTATGACCTCGATACGCTATAGTCAAACTTATCACTTTCTCCACAAATTATTCCAATTTGTTTTATTTCTGTCCATGACACAAGCATCACCTGCCCAGGCTCAAAACATGGAAAGTGGTGTCTGCCTTCTGCTTCGATCTCATAATCAGCTGTCACCAGGTCCTAGCGATCATTCCTCCCTAATTCCACTCTCATCACTCCCTCCTTCCACCTGCATCAAGGAGCCCTCTTTTTCAAATCCAGGTGAACGAACCCTAATGGTTTCTTACCTTCCAATCTTTCCTGTTTCCGACCCATTCTGCTAATTCATCTTCCTAGCACACCCCTTTATGTAGACATTTTTCCATGGCTCCCTACTGCCTAGAGAATAAAAGGGAAAAGCCCTTCTCCTTAACATTCCAGCCTTCCAAAATCTGATCTAATTCCTAATTCAGCCTTTCCACCCGGAGCTTCTACTACCACCAAAATCAGCCATGTGCTCCTTAACCCCAGCACCCACAAATGCCATGGGCACACCTTTGCTCTTGCCCGGGTGTGATTATAAATAGCCACCCCTTTTCCGCCTCTGCAGGCGCTCTGAAGGGTTCTAAGTCCAGGGAACTCCTATCCCCACAGAATGTCTACCCTGCCCACTTCCCACCTCTTGCCTGTAATATTAAGAAAGCTAGTTCAGTCCTGGCTGGTTTGGCTCAGTGGATAGTGTCAGCCTGTGGAGGGGTCCTGGGTTCAATTCCAGTCGGGGCCACATGCCCAGGTTGCGGGCTTGGTCCCCAGTGTAAAGCTAGTTCATCTACCCAAAAACACAGTCATACAACAGGCTGAGTTTCATCAAAACACACCCTGACTGTACCTCACGGTCGAAGTCAAATATTCCACCTAACATTTCTCTATGAATATTAAAATCAATAAAAATATATTTTTTTTAAAAAGGAAGCTAGTTCAACTACCCAAAAACACAGTCATACAATAGACCAAGTTTCATCAAAACACACCCTGAATGTACCTTATGGTCTAAGTCAAATTATTCCACCTAACATTTCTCTATGAATATTAAACTGGTATACGCCAAGGTTATTCTAAAATATCGAGCCTGACTTTCCAAACTGCAAAAGCGAGAAACCCAATTTTCATTTCCCTGAGTGTAAGCTCCAGCTCCTTTGTCACGACAGGGACATAGGTCATCCAAACGCAGGCAGATGCTGCTGCCCTTTCAAACCTCATGCGACTGCACCAGAAGAAGGCGGAGCAATAGTTATTGAATATTGGCCATGGGACTGGCAATGCTAGGTGCTTAGCACCTGTTCTTACCACACACACACACACACACACACAGTAAAAACCTCTGAGCCCTAGCCGGTTTGGCTCAGTGGATAGAGCGTCCGCCTTAGAACTGACAGGTCCCAGGTTCGATTCTGGTCAAGGGCACATGCCCAGGTTGTGGGCTGATCCCCAGTGGGGGACTTGCAGGAGGCAGCCTATCCATGATTCTCTCTCATAATGGATGTTTCAATCTCTCTCTCCCTCTTCCGTCCTCTCTGAAGTCAATCTATATATATATATATAAAAGCCTAAGCAACCTGGAGGATCGGTCGCTATGACACACTGCAGCCAGCCAACAGGCCAGATTGCGGGCAGGGCTGCCGGCCAACCTCCTCGGCCCCTCCCACCGGCCGATCACCCCCCAATCCGGCTGGGCCAGCTGGATACGCCAAGGTTATTCTAAAATATCGAGCCTGACTTTCCAAACTGCAAAAGCGAGAAACCCAATTTTCATTTCCCTGAGTGTAAGCTCCAGCTCCTTTGTCACGACAGGGACATAGGTCATCCAAACGCAGGCAGATGCTGCTGCCCTTTCAAACCTCATGCGACTGCACCAGAAGAAGGTGGAGCAATAGTTACTGAATATTGGCCATGGGACCGGCAATGCTAGGTGCTTAGCACCTGTTCTCACCACACACACACACACAGGAAATAAAAACCTCCGCACATTTTAAAGAGAAAACGAGCCCTAGCCTGTTTGGCTCAGTGGATAGAGCATCCGCCTTCGAACTGACAGGTCCCAGGTTCAATTCTGGTCAAGGGCACACGCCAGGGTTGTGGGCTCAATCCCCAGTGGGGGACTTGCAGGAGGCAGCCAATCCATGATTCTCTCTCATCATGGATGTTTCTATCTCTCCCTCTTCCTTCCTCTCTGAAATCAATCTATATATATAAAAGCCTAAGCAACCTGGAGGATCGGTGGCTATGACGCACTGCAGCCAGTCAACAGACCAACCTCCTCGGCCCCTCCCACCGACCGATCACCCCCCAATCCGGCTGGGCCAGCTGGACCCCACCCGTGCACAAATCTGTGCCCTGAGCCTCTAGCAAAAATATATTTTAAAAATAAAGAGAAAACAAAGGCCTAAGAGAGGTGAAGTAATGCCCACGGCAAATATCCAGCTAAGCAAGGAGGCCCGACATCAAACTCCTCTCCCACAATAAGGCATGGACACCGCACTCGGGAAAACCCTAAAAAGCCAGGATACTCGGGCCAACAAAACGTTTAAATCTGTGGGACGGGGGCACGTGTGATTTCCAAGGGGAAAACAAAACAAAACAATGCAGTTTCTTCGGGCGTTTTTCCGGGCTTATATTTAATGACTTCCATGAACTGGGCGACAGCGAAGACTAGCTGCTCCCCTCCAGGGCAGGGAAGAGCTGCAGGGCACCCAGCTCCTGGGGGGCTGGGGCTGGCTGTACCCGCCTCTGCGGGCCTGGAAATGCAGTGGAAATGCTGTCCCATGAAGCGCTACCCACGACACACTGAGTTCTGAACCTGGACGGACCCAGAGAAGTGGGCACGTCGAGAGCGACCTGGGAACTGCACACAGAGCACGTGTCCAGCGGCTCCATCCACACATCAGCAGCCGCCAGGGCAACCAGAAGAACCCACCGCAGATGGTTTATAAATGCATCCTTCCCAACACTCCCTACAAAAGGGCACCTACAAAAGGGGGGTGTCCTCCACCCATTTTTTAAAAGAATCAACGCCTGCACGTAAAAGGTCCAAGTTCCTAAACCCGCGAGAACACAGGGGAGGGCAGCAGGGGGGCCAGGGGGATGCCCAGTGAATGACCAGAGGCTGCAAAGCGCCTCCCACTCGCCCCAACGCCCGCGGGCCCAGGAGCGAGCACCCCAGGACGTGGGCACTCGCCCTCGGGACACCCCGCATCCGACAAAGGGCCCGGCCCTGGGGGAATCTCCAAAAAAACCCCATCTC